AGGTATGGATGGTTCTATCCATAGCTTAAAAATAGTCTTTTTGGCAGCAGTGCTTGCTGCCAATAAAGTCCTTTTTTGTTGAGCATTCAACTGGAGAGCGGAGTCATCTAAAAGAAGAAATAGCAAAGGGTCTTGTGGTATATCCAAATGTAGAATATCCGAAAGAACATTACTTACAAAAGTCCAAAAAGGAACCACCGTAGGGCATTCCCAAAACATGTGCAAATAAGAACCTACTGTAGATGTGTTGCATAGATGACAGTATGGATCAGATCTAACCATCATCTTATACAATACACTAGGAGTAATATAAGCCCTATTAATCCATTTATAATGAATCATCTGGTGAGCCAGGTTCTTAGATGCAGTGAAACTTCTAGCCCATACCACATCCCAGTCAGGCTTAACTAAACCATCCCTTTCCCAGGAGTGCACAGCTGGAATATAAGTGTATTGCATTAAAAGAATTGAATTATAGATCTTAGAAACTAAGGATTTCTTCATTTTTAAACGATAAACTATCAAGCTTTTATTTTGGCAGAAAACCACAGGGAGACTTTAGTTAAAGCTTTTTTTAAAAAAAAGTCCCTTTCAGGCGAGTCATTTCACTCGGCGGCCATCTTTGAAACGCCTCTCAGGCAGCTATTGCAATCATCTCTGTGAATGGGGAAACATCAATCAAATTCTCCAAAGTTGTTCACCAAGCTCATGATTAAATTTCATATTTGAAGTCACCAATGAAATCTGACAACTGCCTCATAAATTGTTTCTAAATGCTCAAGTCATGAAAAAAAAAAGGACCAGCCAATGCTTCTCTTCTGTTGGCAACAACAGCCAGTTTAAAAGTGCTTCTCCTTACAAGTTTAGGAAGACAGATGCCCAAACTTCCCAAATGCAAGTTATAAGCGATGCAAACTTCGAGTGGAGTAGAATGGGAAATCCTCTTAAAATGGGAAATTCAACAAGAAAAGATATATAGGCCAGGACTTGATTCTATCCATCGGGGAATTGATTCATTGTACATTTAACAGATGCTTTTATCCAAATGAGAAACATCATAATCATTTACCATACGTAAAGAACATTTTACAACAAAATGCAAGGTACAACTAAATACAAGCAATTTTGATGCACACAAAATTAAGCAAGAGGTAAATGAACGGTTGGATCCACGGTTGCATCCACCTCACGGTTGCATCCACAGAAGCATGGCAGGATAATAGGCCTGTCAGAAACAGTTACAGCTCAAACAATCGTTATTCTTCCCAGTGGTAGGTTGTTATAATTGGAAACAATCACTGAGTCGATAGCCCCGATCAACCTAGCGGGTTCAGTCCTGCTAAACGCTCCAGAGCCGCATATGTGTGTGTGTGTGTGTGACACTCGGGTAAATCCAGGTCAACTCCATGCTGCATTGCAGGTTCTGCGATCACAGCAAATCACAACTTCCCAAAGCAGCTCTTATGGATTCTTTTCACATTTAAAGGTCCTTAAAAGTGGAAGTCGTCATAGTTGAGTAAACTTCTACGTTGGTGAACGGGAACTCCAACAGAAATCAATCATGCGTTCCCATTTGATCCAAGAGCAAAAAAAAAAAAAAAAAATCCATGGTAGCATTTCTATGATTTTTCCCCCAAAAAATAAAAAAAATAATCAAGAGTGAGAGGAAAGATGCGTCAAATCCCTCAGTCGCTGTATTTGAAACACTCACGCCACGTCAAATCACCGTTATTTATATAGGGCTTTATACAATACAGATTGTTTCAATGCAGCTTTACAAAATCAGAAGTGATGCAAACTTCATCAAATATGAGACAAAATTCAATCTGCTCTTACAAAATATTATTCATCTCAATTCAGTTCAGTTCAATAACTGTAAAGTTCTCCAATTATGAAACGAATTTGATTCAGCTATGAAGCAGCTCTTCAGAAGCAAGTGTCATTATCCAGCATCAATTCAATTCAATAATTGTCGATGTAGCAAAATTCATCAATTATAAAAGAGTCGATTCAGCTAGCAGCTCTACACGTGTCATTATGAAGCTCAAGTCAGTTCAAGTTTGGTTTCATCCAACAGTATCAGTGCAAAACGATAGTAAAACACAATGTATAGTATTATAAATGTATATTAAAGTCACCATGAAATCAAAATCGACCATTCTTGTTTTTTATGGAATATTGCAGTATTTATTATAAATGATTTATCCGTGCACATCATCATTTTTTTTAATTCATGTGCCTCGTAATCTTTAATCAAAATAGCTTCCTCTCCCTCTTGCAGCGACATCTCTCTTCTCTGATGATGCGTTTACTGGCGTGAGGGCGGGGCAACCTGTCATTCACATGAGATCCACCAATAGAAAACCACATCCATCCAATCAATTCGCAACGCGCAAAATCAGGTCCCACTCTACATTTTTTCCTTGTTCGAAAAGCCGTTTCACTCGGATGTGCATCGCAATAGGGAAGAAAAGAGTATTACAATTTCTGTATCACGCCGACTTCAATTTTTACAAGTGAAAATATAAAACTTATACAAATTTGCTCAAATTTGAGGTTAATAGCAGTGGAAACATGTCTTAACAGTCTGTGAAAAGGGTCCATTGCGTAATAAGATAATCCTTCTTGAGGAAGGGAGCTGCGTAGTCATTGGCTGCTCTCTGTGTCAATCACCCCACCCTGGCCCCGCCCCCTCACATCTGCTCCAGTTTCAACTTGCCACATTTTGCATTAACTCTTTCAGCACTGGCATTGCCTTCACATGACATATAAACCCTGTTTCCATCGCAAACCACAATAATACGAATACACTGAAAACGAATCATTGCATGGGCGTCAGTGAGGTGTCAGATGTGGTCAAAAGCTGAGTCAAAACAACAGCAGCGATGACAAGGCGGCAATCTGAAATCTTTCCACTTGAAGTGTGGCATTGCTTTGTTTGAGGATGGCAGCAGAAACGCAGCTCTCAAACAGTCAAACAAAAGCCCCTTGTGTTCGAGTACTTGAGAAGTGAAGCCCCTCCGCACCAGCGTGGGTGTGTGTTCGAGCATGTACACGTATGTCTGCGCTCTGTGGGGAGATGAATCCTGTGCTCTTGGCATGTTGGCCGCACAGACACGCTCTGTCTGTGGTGTGCCAAACGGTCAGGCTGCCTGTGATGACCTGCAGACCGTATGATTGCCCTCGTGCGCCAACATTTCCCAAAACACACACACACACACACACACACACACACGGGCCTGTTCTCCCAGAATATCACACAGCACCACAGCAAACACGCCAACTACAAGCGCTGACATCTTTATATTCGCCTAGTCATTTACTGTAAACTCATCCATGCCGCCATAATTCATTTAGCACAGTCACCGAAAAATGCCAAAAATTTACTATATTTGTACCATAGTAAACATGGGATTTTGACATAAACTAGGTTTAATATGGTATTTTTTTCTATTTTGACTTATTCAGAATACACATCATTCAAATGTTTGGGGAGAGTAAGTTAAGAAATGAATACTTTTATTCAGCAAGGATGCATTATCAAATGTGAGACATTTATAATGTTATAAAATACTTCTATTTCAAATAAATGTTCTTGAAAAAAATTCCACAAAAATTAAGCAGCACAGCTGTTTTCAATAATGATAATAATAGTAAGTTTCTTGAGCAGTAAATCATCATATTAGGAAGATTTCTGAAGGATCATGTGACACTGAAGACTGGAGAAATGATGCTGAAAATTCAGCTTTGATCACAGGAATAAATTACATTTTACAATATATTCAAAAAGAAAACAGTTATTTTGAATTGTATTAATATTTCAAAATATTACTGTTTTACTTTGATCATAGAAGTGAAGCAGTGGTGAGCATAAGAAACTTCTTTTGAAAACAATAAAAAAATCTTTACTTATCTTTACTTATTCTTTACTCTTTACTTATTAAAAAAAAACTTTACTTATTAAATCGCACCTTTTTATTGTAATAATCACGATTAATAACACCTAACATTTAATATATTTTTATATTGTAAAACTTTCACAGTTAATCTCCAAATTAACGTAGAAACAACATAAAAAAACTACATAAAGACATCTGATCTAACAGGTAGGAAATAAACAGAAATTGTCTTTACTGCATAAATAATAAATTAAATATAGATTAATCCTTATTAAAGCTACAAAAGTTATTCAGTCAAGAGCAGTGTGAGATTATCTCTTTGTCTTTTGTTCTTTAATTAACATTAATGACAGACAGCAGCAGGATTATTAGGCTGCTGTCACTTTAAGATCTGACACATATAACATGGCCTCACAACTCTTTATGGTCATTCAACACTTTATTTAACTCACATAAGACTGTGCTTATGAGGATACTCGACAAAAGGAGCATTTTGGCTCTGTTTTTGTCCATTCAAGCATGAAAGAGAACTGAAAGTGGCACTGACGCGCTGTCTGAAGTGGATTTCTGTGCGCGTTTCAAAGTTTGTTCACAGAGAGCCGCTTCACACACAGCGCACCAGTACAGATTTAAGTTCTTTTTTTTGGCATCTTATTGCGCTTAAATGGTTTAAAAGCAGTTGAATGATTGATAGCGTGATCATATACTGTAGCGCAGCCAAAGGATGATGAAAAAAAAAAAACGGATCCTGTGTTAATTGCGTCAAATATTTTTTACGCGTTAAACTGAAAAAATCAATCGCATGCATTATTGCGTTAATTCTGACAGCCCAAATGAATATCAAATATTGTGATATTTTAAATGCAAAAAAAAAGAGAAGTATTTCATTTCTTACATTAAATACATTAAATAATTTCAAGATGTTAGCTTGAAACAAAACCAGAATTTTTAGCCATGTCAGTGCACAATACATTAATATTACGGTACATATTATCAACTGAAAAATATCCACAGGTTTTTTTTAGCCATATCACCCAGCTCTAATTGCAAACCAACCCCCTTTTCCCTGCCAAAAAACATTTCCCAGCAGTCATGAATTACCTCTTGCCGAGAGCTTTTTGGTGTTGATGATTTTGGCAGCATGCTCTTGGCCCGTGCACAGCTTGACACAGCGTCGCACGACTGAGAAGGCCCCCCTGAAGAAACAGACGAGAGAAAAACACAACAGCTCAGAAGATCTGCAGATACACCGCTGAACTTGAAGAACCCCCCAAACCCCAAAATCTGCTCAAAACCCTTTGGGGGGGGGGTTTACTCTTTGTAATGTTGATGTTTGAGCATGAAAAGGGTCTGAAAAGCACAAAGTCCCTCCAGCGGGAGTTCTTCTCTATATCAGTGTCAGTGTTTCTGAACTCCCTGAAACGCCTCCACTGTAGTCTTGAGTTTCCTTCCGGCAACAAACACGGCACAATATTCCTCATATAAATAATTCCCGCTCAAGACATATGCAAAAATAAAAAGGGGCGGGGCTTGGTTGAGTTTAGTAGGGTGTTGAAACTTGCGGCTATGGTAAGGGGCGTGACATTTCCCTAAACACACTGGAAATGGTTGACCAATCACAACACCCTGACCCAGCCAACCAATCAGAATCCACTGTGCTTTTTGGGAGGAGGGGTTTCATAGAGACAGGAACTAAACAGAGCGTTACTGACAGACTAGAAAGAGAGGTGCTGCAACAATGTCAAATATGGGGAAAATAAGGTGTTTTTGAACATTCAAGCATAAAAACCTATTCTAGCAGACTTTATACAGTCTGTTATGCACACATCTTCTTTACCAAAAGCATCAACAGAGTCAGAAAACACAACATACAGGTGTCTGATGCACAAATATTCATGATATTCACATGGGAACAAAATGTAGAGCACACGGTGTCTATCAACAGCCTTCTTGAGTCTATTTTCAGAAAAACCTGCATTTAAAACAAATCACTTGAGACAGTTGTGATAATGGTCTGATGTCATTTCTTACCAGCTAATTTTAGCCCACCTTGTTACAGTTACACAACACACTTAGAATGTCTCAAGCAGACGCTCTGAACAGATGAAGTCGGATCCGTGACTTCCCGCCCCTCACCGACAGGCTCAAATGCCCTTGGAAACATCCATGTGATGTTAACATGTGATAAAAACAGACCATATGCCCCTCTGTGACCTCGGGCAAATCACCTGCGCACGCTTCGCTTGGCTAAGAAACCAAGACTGGATGATTTTGGGCATAATTCGACGTAGATCGTCATTCAAAACATCTAAATGTCCATCATACATTTTCAAAAAGATTTTACCGTGACGTTTGGAAATGGTAGCATGGTAAAAATGAGTTTTTGGACATTTTCAAGATGGTAAAACCATGGAGTACCATGTAAATTAGTGATGAATATTAAAATTGAAAGACTGAAAACAATAAGCTTACAATCTTTTAATGTTTTGACTGATCATTTTTTTTGGGATACAATTGTAGAATATTTTGGGTAAAAAATAAAATAAAATAAAAAGTAAATATTGGCTAAAATATAAAATGTAACAGTTATTTGAGTTTTAAAATAGCAACTGTATGTTAGTGCAATTAAATATAAAATGTTGGCCAACATACAATCTCAAACAACACATAAATTTTAAGATCTAAAAAAAAATTAGCTGATAAATATTTTGCATCCCGAATCTAAATACAGTGGTATTACCATCTGATTTGCAGTAAGGTCAGCATATTAACATATATAATGTAATGTAGTGGTTGACTGTTGTGGTGGTTAAGACATATCACACCACACTATTTGATTTAAATAGAGTAAATGACACGAGCATATCAATTGCTAAAATTATATTCATTTTGCATAATATTTACTCAATTATGTTAGTATTTACTTTTAAAATAGAGGTCTTGCTTATGACACTTATCGACTAAAATGAAAAACGTATCAGCCAATATGATAATTAGAATCCGATATACTCGTCAACAACTAATATCATGTATTGTAATTAATTTCATAAACATTGCTTGTCAATGTGAGGGAAACAACACATGATGTTCTTCACTCCAATACGAAGAATGGAAACTTCTCAACTAATAAAGCAGAAGGTCAAAGCGTGTCACAAGCATGAGCCGCCCGTTCACCTCTGACCGGATGAAGGCCTGGAGCCGCGTCTGTCTGTCGCTCTGTTAGCAAACGTGTGTTTCATTAGTGCTGGAAGAAGCCCGAGCGTCTCAGCGGAGACATTGAGCTGATTTACAGCTGTCGGCCTGTCAGGAAGACCAAACCACTGAGCTGCTCAGGTTCAACAGCAGAAAACACACTCACAAACAACAACCACAAAAAACACACCGCAACTTTGGACTGACAAGTCAAGATGAGCTGAAAGTTATTCAACTCATAATATAATAATAAATAATAGTCATTGTATTACATTAGATTGATCAAAAATATAGTAATATTGCAAAGTACAATTTAAAATAACATTTTCATCATCATTACTCCAGTTTTCAGTGTCACATGATCCTTCAGAAATATTTCTAATATGCTGATTTGATGCTCAAGACAAGAAATATTTCTTAAAAGTTTGAGGTCGATATAGTAGTGGCCAAAAGTGATGTCTGGAGGAGATATTTGTTTTTAATGACCGTACAAGTTTGATTGAATCGTCAAAATATTTGATATATTTTAAATATGGGAAAAAGCGTTCACTGACTACAACATAACCAGCTATTAATATTTTGTTGTTTATTTGCATGTGTTCATTTATTTGTATGACAGCCTGACCAAAAATGATGTCAGCACAATTTCATTGCATTATCACAAATAAAACAATTGACTCCAAGTGCAACTACGCAATATGCTTACAAAATCTTTAACACGTTTTTTATAATATTTGAATAAAGATGTCAATTTTCCTTGACCAGACATAACTTTTGGCCACTACTTTATACATAACAAACATGATATGACCAAATATCTACTAAAGAAAGTTAAGTAAACGGCTAAAATGCATGTCTCCACCACAAACTGAGGATGTGGTAAAATATTCAGCTGAGCATGGTGAAGATCAGTTGAAATATCACACATATAAAACATCTCAAAAGTTGTAAATGTCTGTTTCTCCTCAGTGAGAGGGTTCAAATGAACTGAAAATGAAAGCTACAGAGCATTTATATATATATATATATATATATATATATATATATATATATATATATATATATATATATATATATATATATATAAAAGAGAAGTTTAAAAAGTTTCTAAGAGAAATCTGTCTACTACTATTTGTGTGTTATTATGACTGTGGGTCGGTTAATAATTCAGGAGAAAACTGTGCGAAAGAAACGCAATACTTACTGACTGACTGGAGGAGGGGGGCGCTGAGAGAGTAAAATAATTTCCTAACGTCAGGCCGCAGGCATGTCTCTCTCACACACACACACACACACACACACACACACACATTATAGACAGCAAACAGCCGTCCGGGCAGCTCTCACAGCTCCAAATGTCACACGTTACAATGTAGCGGCCCTTCACTCCAGCCCAGAGTTTATGATAGATTGTAACAAACAACTCTTAATACATTATATCAACCGTTCATGTGGAGATACAATGTTGCAACGTATTGACCTGTTAAACTCTCAAATATAAATCACCTTGAACATAACCTCCAAATAACCCCTCAATAGCTGATCATTATGATCAGACATACAAGATAAGAATCACTGTAATATTTCCTGACAGCTGTGAAATCCACAAGAGGAACCACAAAACATGCAATATCCTCACGTTTCTTTTTCTGTATAGTTAAATACTCCCATGCATATTTATGCAACTGCATTCAAAGGGGCTGCAAACATGCAATATCCTCTAAATTTAGCTCTGACTGTTTATATTTATGATCTTTGAATCATTAGTAAATGGACTATTTTGATTCTCTTTGAGTTCTACATATTAAATGCAGCAAAATCATCTATGATCAGAGACTGTGTGATAGGAGTATTCACTGTAACATGTTCAGTGGTGGGTGTATTTAAATGCAACTCCCCTCTAATGTTTCCTGACAGCTCCTCTGAGCATTCTGCATGAAATGCACCAGAGGAGCCACAACACATGCAATATTCTCAAAATCAAACCCCTGACGGCTTATATTTACGAGCAGATTTTAAATAAACACAGGAGTGGGAGTATTTGAATGCAACTCCCTCTAATGTTCCCTGACAGCTCTTTTGTGCATTCTGCACATGATGCATCGAGTTCAAATGTGCCAAAAAAAAAAACATGAAAAATAATGAAGCCCTGGTCGATGTGCATATATAGTAAATATGAAAACAGTCACTTTAACATGCACAATAACATAGTATTTAAATGCAACAGTGCTCTATCTTTCCAGACAGATCGATACTCATTGCATTGCCGAAAAGCATCCAACATTCTCATAATGATCACCAGATTTCTCTTGTTTATTATCAATGATAAATAGTTAAAGGGAGTATTTAAATGCAACTCTCTCTAATGTTTCCTGACAACTCCTCTGGGCTTTAGCATATGGATTTACATTTAATAAACGCGTGGCATCAATATAAGACACTCGGCGTATGCACAAACACTAGCAGAGAAAGCAAATCTTACTTTCCAAGTTCTTCGTACAGCTGGTACTCGTCGGTGAAGCGCGTGCAAGTTGTCGTTGCCATTTCTCAGCCCTCAGCGTTCGCGGCAATATCCGAGCTGACTTCCAGCACTACTGTACGCTTCTGAGCCTTCGACTTGCGGGGTTTCAGGACAAAACTTAAACGTGGATATGGATATTCGAGGGAGGGAGGGAGAGGTTCGCCGACGAGCAGGCTCGACTGCTTTACCGACCTCTCACCGAATGCGCCGTTTAACTGCAGTGAGTGCACTTGTTTTCCGCTGTGTGTGTGTGTGTGTGAGTGAGAGAGAGAGAGAGACGCGCTGTCACCGCTGGAGGGCGCAGCGGAGCTTCTGTTACACCTGCAATACCTTTTTCTGCAAGATAAACATAAGAGTAACAGATACTGAGACAAAACAAAGAACAATGAGGGTTACATTACATTATCAAAAAGCATATTATACCGGTTTATATGCATTAGCACTACACCATAAATAAGTCCTACATAAAGGGATAGTTCACCAAAAAAATAAAAAATCTGTCATTAATTACAAACCCGTAAGACTTTCGTTCATCTTCGGAACACAAATGAAGATATTTTTCATTAAATCTGAGACATTTCTGTTCCTCCATTGACCGCTACACAACTGAAACTTTGATGCTTCAAAAAGTTTATAAAGAGGTCATAAAACTTTTTTATTTTTTCCCAATATTTTCTGAAGAGACACGATCGCTTTATATGATGAACAATAGGCTTTTATTCACATATAAACATTCATCAGTTGTGGTAAACTTTTTGCTTGATGTGCGAGAACCAATGAGGTTCATCAGTTTGAGCTTCAGCAAGAACCAATGAGGTTCATTCTCGTGTTACGCAGCACGTTTGAGCTTCTGCTATAGAGGTTTGTTCTTGTGCGTCAAGCAGGTTCGGTTTGTTTGGTTGGTTTAAATTCTGTTTATTTTCACTGATCAATGTTTATGTGAAAAACTAAATTCGATCTGTTCATCATATAAAAGGATCGAGTCTCTTTAGAAGATTTGGACTAAATCGCTCGATTCATATGAATTAGTTTTTTGATCTCTTTATAAACTTTTTGAAGAATCAAAGTGTTCCGAAAATGAAAGGAAGTGGTTTGGAAGGACATGAGGGTCAGTATAATTAATGACAGAATATTTTAAAGATTTTACTTTCTTGAAAATAAAAAGGATAAGATTTCTTCAAAAGTTTACACTTATGTATGTAAAATTTGGCAAGAAATAGCAAGAAATTCTTTTTATATTTTTTACCAATTTTTAATTAAAATGAGAAGGGTCTAATTTCAGAGTCACCAAAAATTGGTTTATACAGAAATTTGAAAAAAGAAATCCTTTTTATCAAAATTTGAAAAGTCAGCCCAAAATACTTTACGACAAGTACAGTCCCAAAACAAATGAATATCAGTTTCTTCAAACTGATGACAGAAGGAGCACATGGGGGAAATGCTATTATTAAATTTGACAAGTTTATAATTTACAGGGTAGCAATTACGTACTATTTTAATAGAGGCTTCAACAACTTTATTAGACAAAAAAAAGTCAAAGAAGCCAGAAATCTTTCCATTCAATATCACTAAACTTCTTATTTCAAAAACGTCTACGAGCAGGTAGAGAAATCTGAGATCTGTTAAGAATTAAACACCTGCAAAGCCTTTTTTTAGTAGGTGTGTTGAGAGGTGACATCATTATGAAACAGTTAAAATATTTAGAACTTAATTTTGTTAAATTTAACTAACCAAATGTATTGTAAATTTGACGATTTGTGGAACATCTACATACCACACACACTTAAAACGTATGAGGGTCATTACATGAAACATTTTAATGTTATTTATAATTTAATATCTTTTATTCTATCCCAATATAGGACATTTATCTGAAAATCAAAAAAAATTTTTTTACTTTAACATGTATTAAACATCTTAATATGTTATATTATACGTGTTGTACATTGTCTACATACCTCACTTAAAAAAAAACAAGGATCACATTTTAACATGTATTATTATAGGCATATATATATATATGTACACTGTATAAATATACATTAGTGCATGTAATGCAATTATAAGTGTGTTCTAATGCAATGATTCTCACACATTGTCAGTGTGACAGCATAACAATAATCAAAGAATAACACAAATTGAATGTTTGCAAAAGGTTTTAATTAGGCACAAATGAAAAAAAAACTGATGCAAACAATGGAAATAACATCTATCAACCAACACAATCTGAAAATGACAGAATTTCATCCCATGTGAGAGTTTGAGCAATCTGCTTACAGATATTTTCTATATCTGATGAATCTTTCTTTCCCTGTTCCTATTGTAGGTCACTGAAATAGCAAGAAAACGAACACATAATAAGCCCTGAATAGTCAGTAACTGGGCAAACGTAATGATCACAGACACACGCAGCCAAAGAAAACCTCAGTCAACTGATTCCATAAAACACTAAAAATTATAAATGATCAACGGCCCAATTTGCATGCCAAACACTAGCAAAATACGAGACAATGATCAGTGTCAGCAAATCAGTAATATTGGCTTGATTTGTGCAGTGTAGACACTGATGATGTTCATTTTGTCGCACCGCAAGAAAGCGCCACATCACTGTCCTTCAGTGTGTTACATAAGTGCTGACTTCAAATCTGACATTGTCGTGTAACCTCAAAACTGGACAGCATTGGGTGGGATGTTGAACAAGGAGGGGTCAAAGTCCTGTCCTTTAAACGGAGATCCTTCGGCATCCCAGCCCTTCTTCAGCATCTCATGGACTTTCTGAAAGGCAAAATAAAACATCTTTCACTGCAATATCCACATAGTTTTTCATGCAACAAGTCCCAGAGCTCTTAAAGCTGTCCTTGGGCTGAAGCTTGGACTGAAGTTCTTTTATGTTCCACAGAAGTAAGAAAGCAACATAGAAAATAACTTGCATTGCGTGCTCACTAGAGCTGCTTTATTATTGTGAATTGACAATGATCTCGATTCAAACACATACGCAAAATTATTCCTAAATGACAAAGATTGGCCTTTGACAAGTACGATCACAGTGAACATTCAGATCTGCATTGGCGCTCCAGCTGATATAAAGAGAGAAGTTGTAATGTATAGGTCTAAAACAGCTTCACAAACACAGTTTTATTATTTCTGTTACAATAATTCAAATGACCACAGAAGTACTATAAAAGTTTATAGTTCAGACTGATGTCTATGGTAGTGATCAAAATAGAGTAAATCACCTTTTGAAAGAAACTTCAAATAAAGAATATCAATTACATTGTTACACCAGTAGGTGGCGACAAGTGAGTGTTAAAAAAAAATATCTGTCCTTAGCCATTTTTCAATCCACCTATTTATTATTATATGGCATAGAAAACACTGGATGGAAACGCCAAGATGCGCATACATTCTGAAAATGTGCATAAAAAAACTTGTGCACTCAATTGAGGAGGATATATTTTCTCTCACGTGACTTTGCCTCAACAAAGGATGTGATTGGATAACTAGCGGACCAATTTCATTGTACAAATTTTGGTTTGATCATTCTGAAATGCCTGAGCCAAAGTCTGTCATCAGAATGATTTTGGTATAATGACCTGAACATGAATACATACAGTGCCCTCCACAATTATTGGCACCCCTGTTTAAGATGTGGTCGAGGACTTCTAAAAATTCTCCTTTTTTTTAAAAACAACATAGAACCCAAATGCAAAAAAAGAGAAAAATCCAACCTTTTATTCAAGTATATTACTTTGGTGGTAAAAAAAAAAGTCACACATTTAAAAAAAAAAAAACTTGAAATCATGTGTCCCACAATTATTGGCACCCCTAACAATTCCACTGAAAAATTTAATTGATTTTTTTTTAAATATATCTTTCTGTAGTTGCTAAAGTTGGTCAGGGTATCTAGGAACTTTTAATTAGTAATTCATGACTTCCTGTTTCCCTGGGTATAAATATGACACGACACAGAGGCCTAATTCTCTTACCCATTTGTCAACATGGCAAAGACAGGAGAACACACCATTCAAGTAAGGCAGATGTGTGTCGACCTTCATAAGTCAGGCAATGGCTACAAGAAAATAGCCACTCGCCTTAACTTGCCCGTATCTACAGTCAGAGGAATCATTAAGAAGTTTAAAACAACTGGAACAGTGACAAACAAGGCTGGAAGAGGTCCCAAGTTTATCTTACCACAACGCACAGTGAGGAGGATGGTAAGAGAAGTAAAAAAAAGTCCTAAGCTCACTGTCACAGAATTGCATCAAAGAGTGGCATCTTGGGGTCACAAAGTCTCCAAAACAACCATCAGACTACATGCCAACAAGCTGTTTGGGAGGCATGCAAGGAAAAAGCCTTTTCTCACTAACACTCACAAACGTAAATGCCTGGAGTTTGCTAAGCGTCACTGGGACTTCAACTGGGATTGTGTGCTTTGGTCAGATGAGACTAAGATTGAGCTTTTTGGCAACAAACACTCTAAGTGGGTCTGGCGTAAAACAAAAGATGAGTATGCCGAAAAGCACCTCATGCCCACCGTGAAGTATGGTGGAGGATCTGTGATGCTGTGGGCCTGTTTCTCTTCCAAAGGCCCTGGGAACCTTGTTAGGGTGCATGGCATTATGAACGCTTTGAACTACCAGGACATTTTAAATAAAAACCTGATGGCCTCTGGCAGAAAGCTGAAGATGGGTCGTCATTGGGTCTTTCAGCAGGATAATGATCCAAAACATGTGGCAAAATCTACACAAATATGGTTCACCAGTCACAAACTCAAGGTCCTCCCATGGCCATCTCAGTCCCCAGACCTCAACCCAATCGAAAACCTATGGGGCGAGCTAAAGAGGAGAGTGCATAAGAGAGGACCCAGGACACTGGATGATCTAGAAAGATTGTGCAAAGAAGAATAGTCAAAGATCCCTCTCTCTGTGTTCTCCAATCTTGTGAAATGTTATAGGAGGAGATTAAGTGCTGTCTTGTTGGCAAAAGAGGGTTGTACAAACTATTAACATCAGGGGTGCCAATAACTGTGGGACACATGATTTCAAGGTTGTTGTTTTTTTAAATGTGTGATTTTTTTTACCACCAAAGTAATATACTTGAATAAAAGGTTGGATTTTTCTCTTTTTTTGCATTTGGGTTCTATGCTGTTTAAAAAAAAGGAGAATTTTTAGAAGTCCTCAACCACATCTTAAACAGGGGTGCCAATAATTGTGGAGGGCACTGTAAATACTTTTTAAATAGTCAGCAGCAATTCAAA